CCCCCCCACCCACACTGCCCAGGCAGGACGCACTGCTCCACCGCAGCCTGCTCCGCTCCTCCAGAGCCGACCTTCTCCCCCCAGCTTTTGTTCAAAAAATGTCATTTCCAGCTTTGTCACTGGCAACCTTTCCCAGCCTCCTGAGGCGTGAGCACGGGGGGGTGTATGGGGGGGGGCACGTGGCCACGAATCACAAATTAGAGCTGGGAACAGGCTGACACGATGCCCATGTCCCCACCGAGCCAGTCACTGAGCGTGGCGCTGGCACTGCGGGTGCTCGGTGCCACCTGGCACCACGTCCCCCCCTAAAGCCAACCATCCTGAGATGGGGGGGACCAGCCCTTTCTGCCTCGCCCAGGTGGGCTGAGGACAGGCTCTGGGAAAGCTGTTGGAGGGGGCAGGCAGGGCTGGGCAGAGCCTGGGACCCCATCACATTCCTCTTGGAGCCCTTCAACTACCCTACAACTACCTGAAAGGAGGGTGTAGAGAGATGGGGGTCGGTCTCTTCTCTCAAGTCACAGGTGACAGGACGAGAGGAAATGGCCTCAAGTTGCCCCAGGGGAGGTTCAGGCTGGATATTAGGAAAAATTTTTTCACTGAAAGGGTTCTCAGCCCTTGGAATGGGCTGCCCAGGGAGGTGGTTGAGGCCCCATCCCTGGAGGTGTTCAAAAGACGGGTTGATGAAGTGCTGGGAGGTCTGGTTTAGTGATGATGCTCCTTGTTTGTTGTGTGGGTGTCTATTTTTGTCAGTTAGGTTGACGGTTGGACAAGATGATCTTTTAAGGTCTCTTCCAACCTAGAAGATTCTGTGATTCACTGGTCAAAGCAGCACCTTTGGGTGCTGGGACAAGGCAGCTCCTGTGGTCACGGCAGAGGTGGCCCCATCCTGGGCAGCAAGGTGTTTGCCCAGCCCTTGCCCAGGCTGGTCCTGGCCAAGCTGCTGCTCCGGAGATGGGTTCAGCCCAGCATGACCCGGGGAGAGGGCAGCCTTGGGAGGAGAGGGGGTGTTTATTAAAGACAATGGATTAAATTAAATAATCGAGTTAGACAAAGACGGGAGATTCCTCTGAGCTGGAGTCTCTGTCTCGGGCTGGCATCTACAGACACATCAAAGGCAGCTCTCGCAGACGCTGCTCGATCTTCCCCGTTCCCCCTCTGGCTTCTCTGATCAGTTATTTCTGCAAAGGCTGTAATCTCCTGCGTTTTTGAGGAGCAAAGCCGTGGAGAGGCTTGGCTGGCAAACAGATGCGATAATCAGTATCATTACAATTTATTAGCTCTGCGCCAGAAAGACCCCCCCCAACTTAAAAACAAATTATTGTTCATTAAGGCGTTTTCTTGCAAGGCAAATCACAGATCTGTGTCGTCTCGTGCTGAATTTGCGGTGCAGCGGCAATTAGACACGGGGTGTCCGCAGATGAAAGATGTTTTCGTGTTGCAGATGCCAGTTCAAATCCAACTGGGTCAAGAGTGATTTAATTACTGCCTGTGATTTTTTCGAGGGTGCCTGAGTGAGCTCGGTTTGCTCTGGGTGTCCTCCTGCTCCCACAACCAGGACCTTGCACCCCGTGTTCTGGTGCCAAATGGGCAGAGAGAGCTGTGCCCCCCCAAAAGAGGGGCAGTGGATGCAGGAACAATCTCTGGTGTGGTTTTTGTGCTGAGGGAAGGGGACAAGGGGACAAGGCTTTGCTGCTTCCCCCCTTCCTCCTGGGTGCCCCCAGGGGCTGCCCATCACCGGACTGGCTGAGCTGGAGCATTTCAGGAATTTACTCCCTCGCTGTCCCCTGCTCCCAAAAAAAGCCCTTCTGCCCATCTCCCAAAGGAGTCACGGGGTGTAAAGAGCAGCTCGAGCTCCCTCGCTGCCGGAGCCATGTCCCCAGGCCCTGTCAGCTTCCATCTCACTGAAATCCAGCAGGAAAGCACCCCCTCCCTGGGCAGACCCGAGCCGACAGCAGCACGGACCCCCTTGGCTGGGGTGGTGGGAAGGACACCCTGTCTGGGCACCTCCTGTGCCAGGAGGGTCCATCTGAGCCCACCTCAGTCCACCTTTCCCAACTCTTGGGGCTGCTGGGCTGCTCCCCCAAACCCAGTGCCGAGGCTGGATGGGCAGAATTGGGCTAAAACACCCAGATCCAGCTGTGCCCTGGTGCTCACCCGTGTCACAAACTCTTCCTTCGCTCCTGGTGCCCCTGTGGTGTTTCATACCCAACCTCTCTGGGGGGGCTGCCCACTGCCATCCCCCCCCTCCCTCGGCAGCACTGCACGGGGATTAGGGTTCCTTGTAAAGGGAAAGATGCCGGTCTCCCCAATTAGCTGCTGAGCTGTCTGTCTGGGTGCATTTGTGGAGCAGAAAGGTTTGAGATGAGCAGAGAAATCGCTGTGACAGCTTCAGCATCGCTGGCTCCGCAGTGGAGGGGACGGGCCCCCGGGAGGGGATGCAGGGACCCCACGGGAGCCTGAGCCACTCTGGGAGCCAGGGGGGTGGTGGGAGGACTCTTATTCTGGGTGGGGGGTGCCAGCCGGGGCTGATCTGGGTGTTGGGGGGAACCCACTCCCCTCAAACAGCTCCTCCGTCACAGCCCCTGGTGCCACACCGTGCCAAGGCTGGTTTATCCAGATCTAAGTGATGGTTAAACAAAGGGGGACCCTGGCAGTGGGGTGCTGGGGTGCTGAACGAAGGCTGGGGTCCCTGGGCATCACTCGGTGACCTTGGCCAACAAAGGAGGGTCCCTACAGCCTGTGGCACTGGGCAAGGAGCACAGGTTTGGGGGGGGTCTGACTGTGACCATCGGCTGCTCCATGATCCCGCTCCCTGCGCCGTCATCTCGGGGGTCGGCTGCAGGGAGGGTTCCCTGCTGCTCTCTCGGAGCTCATCAGCTGTTAATTACCAAGAAAATGGGTGCCAACCTAATTTTTTCCAATTTCATGTTATGCACGGAATCCTTTAATTGTCTTTAATAAACAGGGCGATGCTCAGTGGCGCTTTGTCTGCAATAAAACCTAATGTATTGATTTAAACAATATGCAAACATGTGGGATTAGAGTCTAATTGGGCACTAATCAGGGTGCAACGGCCTCCTCGACGCCTGGGCTGGGGTTGGGAGGTCTCCAAAGCTGGGATGGGCAGTGGGAAGGTGGGGTGGAGGTCTCAGCCCCTACCAACCGGGGACATTGAGGCAGCACATCATGGTCCTCTGAACCTCCAA